TATAAAACATGGTCATTTTCTTAGAAAAAATATTTATGACACGTTTTTAATAAATTTAATTTAAAAAATCGATGTTTATTTCCATTTATTTATATATCAAATTCTTTGATTCCTAATTAGGCATAACTTTGCGACCAAAATTGTTGGTTTTATCAAATATATACGTTAATTTATACCATTTTTATTTTCACTTTTTATACAATAATACATAAAAATTGATTTAGATTTGTTAATTATTTATAACAAAATCATAAGTATATTAAAAATCGTTTTGTAGTTTAAAAAAATCAGTTTATTTAGATTTTAGTAGCCTGCAGATGTTAATAAAAATAATCAGTCTTCTTTTTTCAGATTCTAGACTTTTGGTCTACCTCTTCTGCTGCAGAGGTCTGTAGATGTGCTCCGCAGACTGCAAATATTTTGCCTCAAAAAAAAAAAAAAAACAAACAACACCAAAATATTTTTCAATCTTGAAGTTATATATGATGTAATCAGTCAAATTTGTTTCCTCGTTACATTTTAACGATATTGTCGATGAAGATTTTTTAGTGTATGAATGTCTAATTAAAGATCATAGATAACTAAGATTCGAAGGATAATTAGTGATGCACTTGTGAGTTTGTTAAGCAATATCGACATTATTCCTCATGGACATACTTATACTCTATTATGATTATACTACCTTGACTATTCCATTAACATTGTTTAGAATGGATATACAAAATGTAATAAAATCAATTTTTATGGATCGGTTCAGTTATTAGTGGCTTGCGAGGGCTGAAGGTGACTGTCGGGATAGACTGGTTGGGGGGCCAATGGGGCCATGATAGATTGCGAGCGCCAGTTGGTGAGGGTTCGAACCCCAAATGGGGTAGAACTGGTTATTCATGGAGAGAGGGCCTCATAAGGGCCAACCCTCTATTCAACTACGAAGGCTATGAGATTTATACAGCAAGGTTGTACGAGATTTCTGCCATATATCTCGGATACGAAGGGTGAGACCCCAATGGATTTGCACAGTGTACCGGCTATATAGGAGTTTCGGGATTTCTTTCCCTAGGATTTACCTAGAGTGCCTCTCGAGAGTTAAGTGGAGTTTCACATTGATTTGGTACCGGGTGCCTCTCCAATGGCCAAGGTACTGTACCAGCTAGCTCCGCACGAGATGCAGGAGCTATCTATGCAGCTTCAGGAGTTGCTAGACCAAGGGTTTATCCGTCTGAGCAGTTCCCCATGGGAAGCTTCGATCCTGTTCGTGAAAAAGAAGGACGGTTCACACAGGATGTGTATTGATTATGGAGATTTGAACAAACTAACGGTGAAAAACCGTTATCCAATACCAAGGCTGAATGATTTGTTTGATCAACTGTTGGGTGCGTCTTGGTTTTCCAAGATTGATCTTCAGTTGGGTATCATCAGATGAGGATTCTAGATAAGGATATACCGAAGACAGCTTTCAGGAATCGGTTGGGCACTACAAGTTTGTGGTGATGTCATTTGGGCTCACCAATGCACCAGCAGCGTTCATGGATCTCATGAACAAAGTGTGTATACCGATGCTGGATCGGTCAGTGATCGTTTTTGTTGATGATATCCTGGTCTATTCTAACATCAAGGGGCAGCATGAGCAGCATCGGAGGGAGGTATTAGAGACACTGAGAACGAAAAGGTTGTATGTCAAGTTCTCATAGTGTGAATTATGGCTGCGAGAGGTGCAATGCTTGGGGCACATCATCAACCAGTAAGGTATTTTGGTTGATCAAACCAAGGTTCAGGAAGTGATGCGGTGGGAAGTAACACAGAATGTATCTGAGATTTGTAGCTTCTTGGGTCAAGCAGGGTATTATCGGAGATTCATCCAAGATTTATCCAATATCGTTGTGCCTTTGACCCGTTTGACCAAGAAGAATGTAACATTTCGATGGGCCCCGGATCAGCAGTTGGCTTTCAAGAGCTTGAGATAGAAGTTATGTGAATCCCCGATTTTAGTACTACCTAAGGGGCAGGACGATTTAGTAGTGTACTGCGATGCATCGATCTCGGGGTTAGGCAGGGTACTGATGCAGAGGGGGCATGCGATCGCTTACGCCTCGAGGTAGTTAAAGCCTCATGAGGTGAATTAACCTACTCACGACCTAGAATTGGGGACAGTGGTGTTTTCCCTCAAGGTATGGAGACACTACTTATATGGAGTAAGGTGCACTATTTATACTGATCATAAGAATTTGAAATATTAGATGGATCAGTATAACCTCAACATGTGACAGATGAGGTAGTTAGATGTACTAACAGAATATGACTGTGAGATCTTATACCATCCAGGGAGGGCTAACATAGTGGCCGATGCTTTGAGTTACAAGACGACTGGTTCCCCGATTAGGAACATTTGTTTGAGGATGCCATTGATCTCTCCATTGTCGGATATGATCAAGGAGGCTTGGGTGGATGGTTTAAAGAAAGAAAATTGGAAGTTAGAGCGGATATGGGGACACATTCATTTTTTCATCAGGAATGATCAGGGTTTCTTGACCCTGTGTGGCCGAGTGTGGGTCTCAACATCTGGGGGAGTGAGACATAAGTTATTGGAGGAGGCGCACAAATCCAAGTTCTCTATACATACGGGAAGCCACACAAATCTATAGAGATATGAGACCCAGCTATTGGTGGCCCTGCATAAAGCGGGAGATCGCTTGGTTCGTAGAGTGGTGCTTGACCTATAGGAAGGTCAAGGCCGAGCATCAGCGCCCGTATGGCAAGGTTCATCTGTTACCCATTCCTATGTAGAAGTGGGAGGAGATCACCATGGACTTCATCACAAAGTTACCAAGGATAGCAAGGAGAGTGGATGCCATATGGGTGATTGTGGACAGGTTAATGAAGAGCGCCCACTTCATTCCGATCTCCGAGAGCATCTCTGCTGATAAATTGGAGGATATTTATGTTCAAGAGGTGGTGGTTATACATAGGGTTCCAGTGTTAGTAGTCTCTGACCGGGATATTTGATTCACATCTAGATTTTAGAGGAATTTCCACGAGGAACTAGGCACTTAGTTGCATTTCAGTATGGCGTACCACCCCCAGACATATAGCCAAAGCGAGAGAACGATCCAGACGCTCGAGGATATGCTTCGGGCATCCGTGTTGGATTTTGGAGGTAGTTGGGATGCATACCTCCGATTGGCAATTTTCGTATAATAATATTTATCATGCCAGTATCAACCGACCATTATTTAAGATGTTGTATGGTCGAAGGTGTAGGACCTCAGTTTGGTGGGGGGAGGTTGGCCACCGAGTCATGGGGAGCACCGAAGTAGTGCTCACGACTACCGAGTTGATTCAGTAGGTATGCGACTGGCTGCAAGTCGCACACAGCCGTCAGAAAAGCTATGTTGACCAGCAGCGACCGGGCCTTGATGTCCAGGTGAGGGACATTGTGTTGCTGGAAGTGTCCCCATGGAAGGGTGTGACAACCCAAAAAAAAATTTTCTCTATAAATCCAACAGTCAACTCAACTGAGTGTCAGACTCATTCTTGTTGTCATTTAGCCTTGTTTAGAGTCCGTTCTAGGGTTCAAAGCTCAGTACATTTAAGCATTGAGTAAAGGATTGGATCGCGTACACGTGAAGTACCAAAATTGAGCCTTACAGTCCAACATAAGGAGTGTACGGCCGCACACATGGGTGTGCGGCCGCATACCCCTCTCCTGGCAGCACACCCCTCTCCTGGCAGCACACTCACATGTATAAGTATATGTCTTAGCCTTCTTTCATTCCTTGTCACTCTCCCAAGTCTAATACTCGATTTCTCTCTCAACTAGCATTTGATTTTCAGCCTAGATCTTCAAGAATGTAAGCACTCTTTCCCTTTTGCTTCAATCTTGTTTAGAACACTTGATTTAATCTTAGAAAAGGACCAGAACTCATAATCATATGGTGTGTGCGGCCGCATACATAGGTGTGGCAGTATACCCCTCAAAACACCCATAAAAGCTTCCATATCGTGAGTACCATCCCCTAAGCTTGTTACTTACTAGATATGAGCCTTAGAAAACGTCCAAATGAAGTTCATCAAGGAGTGTGCGGCCGCACACAACCCATGTGGCCGTACACCCCTCTGTTTAGTGCTTAAGGGCCTCCCAATGTGCCTTTCCAGCTTCAACACTTGATGAACATTAGTCCTACAAGCCTCCCTACCATTGGAAAACGAGTTTGTGCACTCTTTACCATAAGTGTGCGGCCACACGCTTCCTGGCCACACATCCATGGTAGCACACTCCTCAAAGTGGCCATACACTCCCTTTAGTTCAATCACATGTGATTCCAACACTTGGCCAAAGTGTTTCTTAGTCCCGTGAAGTGTTTCCTTGCATTTGGTTGCTTCTAAACACTATATTTATGTCAATATATGCCATTATATGTCATTTAGGACTCGTTAAGTCTCGGGAGTTCATTTGTGGAGCTTCTCATCCTTACACGCATATTCGTTTAAATCACCCACATCTGGTGAGTTCATACCCCGTAATCAATCTTTTAAACTATTTTAAGTGCCTTTAACGGGGGGAATACAAGTTGAATACAATTGATAATTGTGTAATTATTTGTTATAACATCTTTCTAAGGTTACTTATGTCTTATATGAGTGATCAAAACATTTCAAAAACTCTTTTAAAGTTATGTTACTTTTTAGTTTAACAAAACTCCATTTATAAAGTACAAGCATAACTTAGTAGTAAAACGAGTATTTTCAATAATAGTTCAAGTAGAACATTAGTAAACTATAAGACTAAACTGCACAAATGTTCCCTATGGTATGTCGAAAATTGCTACTTTGGTCCAAAAAAGTTTGGACTAGCACCACCGGTCCAAAACTTTGATTTTGTTGCGAGTTTGGTCCAATCTATTTTGAATCTTTTTTAAAATGACATATTTTCCCTTGTCAATTTGTTTTTTCATTTTTCTTTTATTATAATAATTAAAAAGAAAATAAGAATAAAAACAATACTACTCTGCCTCCTCCTCTTTCTCGTTTAACACAAAACACTCAATTTCTCTTCCTCTGTAGAAGAGCATCTCCGACACCACTATCGTCAGTCGAGCCACCACCGCCTTCATCCCCCTATCGTCTCTGCCACCACCAACCTCCGACAAGAAAACCCTTTAAACGGATATATGTAAACCATCCCCTTGAAACACCGTCGTAGTCCTTCGTCTTGCACCCAAACATTGTTTCCTTCGCCTCTCTAGAAAAAAATGGTGTCGCCCTTCGTCTTCATCCGACTGAGCTTCAACAGATCAAACCAGAGATGGACAGCTCCAGTGGTTGTTCATATCTGAAGCCTCCCTCTGAAACAATCGCCGCTTTTTCGACTCGTCTTTCCAGATCTGAGCCTTAGCGTCATTGTTATAATCGTTGTCGGAGATATTACTGGCAATATTGATGTCCCAGATCTGCGACCAAGGCCGGCGGCTACGAAAAATGGGGTTAGAGTTTCCAGGTGATGAGACAGGTTGGAGAGGGTCGCTGGAAACATCAGCTATTGGCGGCGGTGTCCCACATCAACGGCTACCTACTATAGTGGTCGGAGGTTGCTTCGGCAGCCTTCGGCCTCGTTTTTGGTTGGGTTCTGGTCGAAATCAGTGGAGAAATCAAATGGGAGTGGTGTTTGGTGGTGATTTTCAGTCGAGAGGAGGGGGTATAAAGTGGTAGTCGGACTTTCATCAACAGTGGCGAAACAAGAAGGTGAAGACGGTGGTGGTGGGTGGAGATGGCAGCTCCGCTCTTTTCGTCTTCCTGTTTCGACGGGTTTGACCAGATGGAAGGAGGAGGGAAAGGGTTGTGGTTGGTGGGTTGATCGGCGATGGTAGGAGGGTAAATAGGTGGTGGCAGTGGTGATGTTCTGGTGGTCCCTGGTGGTTTTCTGGTGGCACAACTCTATGACCGGAGGAAGGCGATAGGCGGTGGTGAGAGCGTTGCGGTGGAGGTTTATCACAAGACAATAGGGAGCAAGGCAGATCGGAGGAGGTGTCTGCGTGGATATCCTTGTCCAAAGGAGAGAGAGAGAGAGAGAGAGAGAGAGAGAGAGAGAGAGAGATTTAATTTTTTTTTTTTTATAAAAAATTATAAAAATAAATAGAAAATGTAAATTTTCTTTTTTAGTTTTTCTTTTAATAAAAAAAGTATTTAAATAAGAAAAAAACTGAAAAAAGAAAAAAATAATAAGGGCAAAATAGTCATTATGAAAAAGTTTAAAGGAAACTGGACCAAACTCGCAATAAAATGAAAAGTTTGGACCTCTGGTGCTAGTCCAAACTTTTTTGGATCAAAGTGACAATTTTCAGCTAACCACAGGGACTATTTGTGCATTTTTGTCAAACTATAATGGGTATAGTTTATAGGTTCAGTTCATACTAGATACAATACATGATAATATAAGAGAACACACAATAAAGAGAAACATGGAGGAAGATACAATACACGATAACTAAAAGAACATACTAAGATACTATAACAGAACAACCATAATAAGGTGCTATAGCATGGGACAACTACATGATCTAATTAAACCAATGAATCACTAACACATTGTTTTAAACAATAGGTGATAGTTATATTGGGTATACATGATCATATAACCTTAGTGTGAAGTTACACAACCTAGCAACTCGTTTGCTGAAGTCGCGTTTGGTTCTCAAAATCTTTTGATGGGTAGAGCATTTAGTATGGGAACTAGCCTTCACATAATGACCTTAATAAAACAAATATGTTTTAAGGTAATTAGTACGTCAGAATGTCAATTCATAAGACAACTGAGCACTTATATTTTCCCATTACTTTCAATAAGTGACAGTTCCACTTGAAAGTTAATGCAAACTATTTTCGAGTCAAGATAGTTATAAACTAGGGAAAAACTTACATCTTTTCAAATGACAAACATAACACTCGGGTCTAGTACATTCAGTAGAAAGGGACCATAATACTAACTTTATGATTCCTTAATGTATACATCAAGAGATATATATTAATAATATCTGATAGGTAATAGGATGTGCGCGTTCTGCTTCATTTCCTGTTCCTTGTTTGGTTGTGGGCTTAAAGCGCATTCACCCAGCCTATTATCCATTCGATATGAGTCATAGATATGTTCCATAAACATTAGCTCATCATAAGGGGTAGCAGGTATAGGTAAGGTCATAGGACAATAATTCAATGAACAATTTCCTAGTACAAAACATACTTTTCAAATCTGAACTTTGGATATACAAAACTAGAAATTTACCAGTAAAGGGTTTAATCCATTTTATTAAACCATCATTTTAACGGACCTTAGGTAGTTAACTTTATAATACCTTAGTTTATACATCGAAGGTTATATATAATTAATATCCAATAGGTAGTTGGATGTGTGCCTTCCGCCTCATTCCTTGTTCCTTGTTTGGTTGTGGGCTTAGGGCAGATTCACACAATTAACTACCTGTTCGATATTAGATTATACATAGCTAGTATAAACTAATTAATTATAGAAGGAACCACTATGGTTACTATATTATTATAAGAAATAAGGGTTTTCTTAAAGAATCTTTGCATAAATTATAAAGGAACTATTACAGTTAACTCCGTGAGTACCAAGGGAATACACCAGGGTTATACACAACAAGGATCTAACAACCAATGGGATGTGTGTCATCCGCCTCATTCCCTGTTCCTTGTTTGGTTGTGGGCTTAGGGCAGATACACATAATTGATTGCTTGTTTACTCTGAGTTTTATATAACTCGTATCCATTTAGTACTCATAGAAAGGATTGTGGAGTCATTTTTACTTATCTTTCATTGAAGCAGGAAATAAAGGATTTCCTAGAGGAACAAGCGAACTTTTCTAAACATAACTTACAGCTCACATAACTTACAACTTACTACACGTTTCAACTACATTTTTCAATAACTTTCTATAGCTTACTTACATCACTAAAATCTTATGAACTCACCAACTTAATTGCTAATAAACTCTTTCAAATAACTTGTATTCTCAGGGAACTAGTAGACAAGTACTCTCGCTGGCAATTCAAAAGATGGAGTAGTATAGCTCCAAGTCTTGTTTTGTTATTCGCTTATGTACTCTATGTTTTGTGAACACACACATTGTAAACACTTTATTCCTAATGAAATGGTTGTTAATTACTTTGCTTACTATGACGCATGTCTTGTGATACTAAACATGACGTCCTCCACCCCCGAACTTTTCCGCTGTTCTGGTTTTGGGGTGTGACAAAGGGAGTCATCAGGTTCTGTAAGATGGGAAAGTTAGGGCCCCGATATATTGGACCATTCATGATTATTGCTCTAGTATGCAAAGTGGCATATCGCTTGGATATGTGGGATGAACTTAGATAGATACATAACACCTTCCATGTGTCTCAGCTTCGGAAGTGTGTCACAGATGAGGCCGCAGTTGTTTCTCTAGACGACATTTAGGTGGACGAGATCCTGAACTACATTGAGAAGCGTATTACGATTTTGGATAGGAAGACTAAGGTCCTTCGAAACAAGGAGGTGAAGTTAGTAAAGGTGCAATGGCAGCACCAAAGGGGCTCCGAATGGACATGGGAGCCGGAGGATGAGATGCGAGATCACTATCTAGACTTATTTGTGTCAGTAGACTTTGAGGATGAAGTCTAGTTCAAGTGGGGGAGATTTGTAACACATGTTCTTGGTATCATTTAATTTTTCCAAGTTTTAGGGTTTTATCCTAGGACTCGACGAGTTGAGGAGCTCCAACTCGTCGAGTAGAGATCATTTATGAGTACGCGGGACTTCGGATCTACTCGACGAGTCGGAAAGTGTTGTAAAGGAAAACCCTAATTTTTAGGGTTTGCACCCTATAGAAAGGACTTAATCCTCATACTTTGACCTCCCTTATCATTTCATTACCCAGAGAAGGAAACCCTAGCTGTCTTTGCTACTTCTTTGTGCTTGTGAGGTTAAGAGAGTGCTTTTGGTGCATTTGTTGAAGAAGTTTGAAGCTTGAGAAGCTTGGATCGGGAAAGAGCTTGTAGATCCAACATCTACATCATTTTGGCTTCAGTTTGAAGATAACAAGCTATTAACTTGATCATTCTAGTATTAGATCTCCTTGTTCATGGGTTTAAGGCCATTTTTACTATATTTGTGGATCATTTCGGGTAGTGGGCATAATCTGAAGGTGGGACTTCGGATCTGGACTCCTTTAAGTCCTTAGAGTTGTAAAGTTACTGAATTTATCAAGCATTGGCCCTTCTCTTTGGCTTAAACCCCTCCCTTAGCTTGGTTTTGGCATTTAATAGCTTGCATGCATGTAAAGTTTTCAACATTACTTGGAAACCATGCCCTAGGAGGCTAGCTCTGCAATTTGGAGCTTTGGGGTAGCTTAAAAACGTCTGAGCACAAAAAGGACTGAAGGGACTTGACAAGTTGCTTAGCCAACTCGATGCGTTGGGTACGGTTTTCTCGCTTTTGGGATCCAGAGTGATTTCAGTGAGAGATTTCAGACAAGTGACTTCGGTTCAGAGTATTTGGCCCTTGGAAGTTAAAGAACTCGACGAGTTACTCAGGTGACTCAGTGAGTTAACTCGTGATTTCGGTTGTATGGAATTTGAAGGAACTCGATGAGTTACTCAAGTGACTCGACGAGTTAACTTGGTATTTCAGTTGTATGGACTCTGAAGGAACTCGACGAGTTGCTGGATGCACTCGACGAGTTGAGGTCAACATGGACTGTTGACCTTGAATGTTGACTAGGTTTACCTTTAAGGGTATTTATGATATTTTGGGATTATGACAAGTTAATCACATGATGGTTATAGGCAGTTAATTTGGAGCTACGCGTTGGGACTTATCTGATTATATCTTATCAGTTCGACATTCTTGAGTAGTGGGTTTCCTCACCATACCAATGGGTCCAAGGCACCAAGGCCGGCCCATTTTGTGATATGTGGTACACTTGTTGTTGTAGGGATATGAGGTATGATAGCTAGTTAGGCTAAGTGTTATGCTAGTTATATATATGATCCTTGCAGGGAAGACCATGGGGGAGCCCATGGAACTTGGATGTAAGACCATGTGGGGGAGCCCATGGCTTTCCAAGTAAAGACCTTGGGAGGAGCCCATGACACTTGGATGTAATAATATATAGGGGAGCCCATGGATATCCAAGTAAAGACCATGGTGGGAGCCCATTTCACTTAGTTGTAAGACCATGTAGAGGAGCCCATGGCATCGTGGAGTAAGACCATGGGAGGAGCTCACGGTATCCTTATATGTTTGTATGCATGGATTATGTAGTTTTGTAGCTTTTATAGCAAATATGATTATGTGATTATGTGGATTGTGTAGGGTATGCTTTGGGGAACTCACTAAACATTAGCTTATAGTTTGTTGATTATTTCAGGTATTTATGAACCTAAGGGCAAGGGAAAGGTCTGATGGCGCGGCATACACTTTCACAGGCGTTTTTTCTTATGGGACACTCTGATATTTGAAATAAAGTTTTTTGATGTATGAATTTTGAAAACAATTGTAACAACCCAAAAATACGGTCCAAATTTTTCATTTTAAAATCATTACGGAATACCATAATTCATCAAACATCACATTAAAGATCATACGTTATATATCTTAAATCATCATAATAAAATATTGTATTAAAATCATGTCTCAAAATATCAGAGTAAATCATCCCATACTAAAATAATGGTGTGTGCACTGCACTCATCTTGAGCTCTTCACCTTGTTACTGGAAGTACCTGAAACCAAAACTGAAAACTATAAGCACGAAGCTTAGTGAGTCTCCCCAAGCTACCACATACCATACACATAATCAGATAACCACAAACATTGGGCCTAGCCCACTACATCGTGCCCCGCCCAGCATCAGACGAATCCGGCATCAGGTCCCACCTAGCATTAGGCCCCGCCTAGCACTGAGCCCCGCTCGGTATACAAATATATTTCTACTAGTCCCCGCCTGTCTCTTGGACCCGCCCAATGTACACATATAAACAATAACATATAATCATGTAGTACATAACACGCAGACAATACACTATAACTACTAGTCCTAAGACCTTACCTTTCTTGGGCCCCGCTCCTACTATGCTAATAATGAGATATGGAACCCCTTCCACACTCAGGTAGTGATGAGATACGCCCCCCGCCCACACTCACCTCCTTACTAGGCACATACAAGTATCACAAAGACAACAAGTATAACTAAACATGCATTCCTTCATCGGGTATCGCCCGACATTGAACAGTATTTCAGAATCATACATATATACCTTCCTCGGGCCTTGCCCGACATCGGACCGTAACCCGGAAACATATAAACTACATCGGGCTAACCCCGACATCAGATCTAAATCTGGTACTCACTAACATACTTAAACAGGCCGATAATGGAGCCTTCGACCAATTCCTACTGGAGAAAACTCACCTCACAAGCTGACTGCAGAATCCTACGAATAAACCTCTCGCTGCCAGCTGGCAGATCCCCGAACTGCTGATCTCTCGACTTCCCGAGCTATCATTACCAACATAATACTCAGTCAAGAACAACTAATCCTTCAAAGTCAAAATCAACGCTTGGTCAAAGTCAAAGTTAACACCCTGAGTTGACTCAACTCGTCGGGTTCTATAAACCAAAACCCTGAAATCATGATCCAACTCGTTGAGTCACCCCCTGACTTGCCGAGTTCCCTGGCTACTCATAGTCATGATTTTCCGAAACAACTCGTCAAATCCATTCACAGACTCATCGAGTTCTACCTTAAACTGGATTGATACATCACAACTCAACTCGTCAAGTTTCCCCGTCCTAACAGACTAAGCCTCTAGTCTCCAGATCAAAGCTTCATACTCCTTCTACTTGCTGCAAATTCCCTTTCAAGGGTAAAGTTTCCAACTTTACATGCTTTTAGTCCTTCTTAATAGGTTTAGCTAAAACCCTAATTCTTTAGGTTATAGATCTTTGTCCAAAATCCAAAATACTTCAAACCCAAGCATGAAAATCAAGATATGGGTCCTAAACACCAAGTGAACACAAAAAGCTCAGGCTTTCCTTCCATTCATGGCCTTTTAGGGCTTAAAAGGCCATAACAACACCTTAAGCCTTGCATGGGGCTTCCATGGTCATAAAGTTTTCACCTTTATGCCATGAAACCCCTTCTAGATCCTAGATCTATAAGGTAAATCACTTGGGACATCCATTTACCAAGGAATAAGCTTCTTGGACCAAAAACCCTCATAAAGTGAAAGAAAGATATCTATTAAACTACTAAGCAAGGTTAAGACTTGCTTACCAGAAAATGAAGAGGATGGAAAGAAGTCTATGGATCTACTATCTTCTTCTTGAATCCTCTAGCTCCTTCTTCTTCATCAAGCTTCAAAAACACACCAAGATCACTCAAAATAGCTTACCACCTCACACAAAGCTCTAAGATTTCGTGGATTAGGGTTTGGATAATGGAGGCTGGAAATGAGGCCATAAGGTGGGGATTAAATGCTTAAGTAGGGTACAAATCCCTAAATCTAGGGTTTCCTAAACCTAGACCAACTCGTCGTGTTGGTCCTCCCTAACTCCAAGTTGGTTTCTCAACCTACATCCCAAAAGTTTATGTCTACTCATCGAGTTGTCCCCCTAGGACTCGACGAGTAGACTTTCAATTTGCATAATATCTTTCCTTAATTAGCCTTTTGATATCCGGGTGCTACAATTCTCCCCACGTAAACTTGACTTCGTCCTTGAAGTCCGCTACAACCACCTACCCCTCAAACATCTCACTCGCCACGCCCACAACTTTCCTCCTACCTGTCCTGGACCACTAGTGTTTTCTATCGCCACCGGTACTCACCATCCTGGAAGTACTACTATCATCATGTGCAATCAATGGACTTCCCAAGTTAGGTGAACCCAACCATTGAAACCTTCCAAGCCTGAAGAAAAATTACCTTTATTGTCATATAGAGAACTACTTTTGTCTTTCCGAGATCTAAATTCTATAATGGTCTGTCTCCCTGTAAGACCGCTTATGCTCCAAAAACTACCATGTTAAAACTTCATCAAATAACCGTTCAACTATAACACTTCTCTCCCTGATTATCTCGATGCCACCATCAGAAACCAAATCCATGTCCATAACCAGCTGTAGAGTACTTATACTTGATAGAAGGCTTATATAATCATTTGAGTAGAAGATTCATCACTGAAACGATTAGACTCAGACGAGAGCTACACAACATGTGCAATCAATTACCCTGAGATTATCCAATCCAACTGTAATTGTCTTCGCTCTTCTGATCTGCAAGCCACCCTACACACAAAACCTGATAATCACTACTTCTACCCGCACATCACACTGCCTCTTTTGTAACTTCCAAAGGAACGGGGACCTCCCAGGTCCAAACTTATTTTTCCACTAACGGGAATACCGGATTCCACCCAGTTACTGAACCAATAATCACCCTCTCAATCACTCCCAGCGACTTCCGAAGAAAAACTTCGGCTATGGAAAATGTTCTATCCACCTTTCCACTCACGACTCTATAAATCCTAGAATCCCCAATCTTGTATCTCGACCCCACGATCTCTACCAGGTCCCACATGCCTTGCCATGAATGTACGGGCCTCACCCAAACCACACTACTGAGTGGCCTTGCCCCTATGTCGATCCCTATCTACCTATCCTTTCCTGATTTTGATCATGCTAACTAGGAGATACGGGCCTCACCCACACTCTTCTGACTAGGAGATATCGGGCCACCGCCCATACACCACTAACTAGGAAATACGGGCCCCTACCCACACTCCGCTAACTAAGAGATACGGCCCCCCGCCCACACTTTTCTATCTGTTTGCTAATGAATGTTGCAGCTAACCCACAATCTCACAACATTTTCCACACTGTCTGGCTGCTAGTGAATGCTATGGCTATCCCATAGTCTTAAAACACGTTCCATGCTATCTGCTGCTAGTGAACACTACGACTATCTTGTAGTCTTACAACACTTTCCACGTGGATCATGCATAAGACCTAACATCCTAGATGAATTCGCGTTTTGATAGAAATTTACTCAAACTAATTCACAAAGTCAACTATCGTACACCAAAAGACACGAATCCTACGTTGGGAAGTTTCCCAAACTCCCAACTCACATACCCCCAATTCAAATCAGCCCATGGGCTGCCTCCCTTCATGGCGAGAATGCAAACTCATCCTATGTCCACACTTCCTTCTATTCATAGACCCTTGTAGAACTCTCCCCCACTTTGGTTCAACTGATATCTTATGACACACCCTGCTGGAAAGATCCCCAATTCTTCGTATCATCCAGTGATCAATCTTGATGGCAACCATGCTTACCACTGTTAGTGTTCCCAAAACTAACCGAAACTAAGGCAGTAAGACCCATAAAGACTATCGGAACACTTCCCCAGTTCAAATTACACTTGCTACATCTACCACATCATGAGAACCCACTTTATACGGAGACATCCGCACATTACTACCCTAAGACCCATGGTATGCAGATGCCATATAATCCAAACATAAATAGGAAGTATAATCCCAAGATATAACTACTAATATGGATTCAAGAAAAATAGAAATAAAATCATAAATAGAAACTGATAGGAAAGCAAAAGATACACACTTGCAACATCGGAAGCTGCTCGTGTCTCCTCTGTAATTAACTGGAAAGCCATGCTCCTCACCGCAAGCGCCTCAACTTGGCCCTGACGACCTTCTGTAATCCTCAATGTCACAGGGGCAGGTGCCATCACCTGTCCGGTTGCAGCCAAACTCGAACATTGGGCCTTCTTGTGGCCCCTCCGACTACAATGGAAGTAGATCATGTCTGATCCCTGGTTGGTGGTAGCAGTACAATCTCTGCTATAATGACTGATCCGACTACACTTGAAGCAACCAGAATCACCACCACTACCGCTCCTACACACACCCTTGTGTGTCCTGCCACACTTGCCACAACGGCTATGGACCTGATTCCCTCTCGATATAGAATCAGATACCTTGGGCCTCTTACCCGTCACTGTAGATGTCTGCATCTTGTTTGGTTTCGTCTTCTTATCTTCCTCTAAGTCGATCTCCCTCTCCCTGGCTGGAGCGATCATATCCACCAACATCTTGCAGCTGGACCGGCTCATGAACTGTCTAATGTTGCACATCAACATCTCATGGTACCGAGCCTTCTTCATCTCCTTGTCAACCACATACTGCAGAACAAGAAGGGCACTCTCTCTGAACTTGGCGGTGATCTCCGACACTGTCTCTATAGTCTGGTGGAGGTCCTGGAACTCCGATACTAACTGTTGCACCTCAATAATTAGTGCAAACACGACCTTGAAACTAGCCATGAAGTCATTCCATTTCATCGCGTCCAACGCGGCATCATCTCCAATAGCATGTCCAACCTCCTCCCACCAATCACATGCCCTGTCCTTCAGAAGATAGGAGGCAAGTAGGACCTTATCCCCCTCGGGACACCAGCTAGAGCGGAAGGCTTTGGCAACATCTACCAACCACCGGCTGCTAGAAATGGGGTCTCTAGCCCCAGGATAGCCTGGAGCTCCATAGGCTCTAAACTCCCTGAATGTTAACATGCGTGATACCATCATGACCGTCATCTCGGTGGGGAACACACCCAATCTCTAGTCTAAAAGCTCCATAATGCCCTCCTTGACCGTACCAAAGATCACAGGAGTCTGGTCTAAAATACTGCGCATAATCTTAGCTGAAATAAATTCTCTCATCTGCTTATCTAGTTGCCTGACTCCAGATCCTGAGCCTAATCCCTCACTGGGATTAGAACTGCCCACTGGTCTGCCATGTAATGTCACCATGCTGCAACATGTCATAACAACCATTAGAATACTCATCATTATCGAGGGATCACACACAAACACTATAAGTTTCCCGGTTTTATCTCAACCTTCCTTGATTCGAGTATGGATCCTCTGCTTTCAGTAGTATGGGCCCATACTACCTTCCACATATATCCGTACTTTCCTCAAGAACTGCCTCGACTCTACCAAGTCCTTTTTCACTACTACTGCTCCCAACACTAATTTCATCCTAGGCTTGCCCTATGGTAATCACCATCCCTCTCTCTGCCATCAACTGCATAAGAAGCCCCTGTTATCTCCCCTAACTAGCTCATAAATACCATCATATATCGCTAAGACTAGATAATTCTTCACATGAGAGGTCCTACTCTACAACGGTTGGACTCAGACAAGAGCTGCGAAATTGAGCTACACCTAACGTTCTAAAATTATTTAGTCCTTGCAATATATAACTTAACGTATTCATTCATTAGTAAGTAAAGGATAACTAGAACTCCTAAAAGCACCAAGCAAGTAGCATTCGAGCATTGAGTACACATAATCAAGCATATCCTAATCAGGCCATCATATCACTAACTAAATTAAACTAGCATGCATTTCATAAACTAATACACATATAATAGGCACATAAGGTATCCTTCCTACATCCTTAGCCCTAATCTAGCATGCAGCTCTCATAAGCATATCATAACGTAACTTGTATGGGAAATTTGGGAGTACTTACTTGAGCTCAGCTGATCGCATGCACCACACCCTTTTTTCATTTTCAAAGTTCTTTTTTCTTTTCCAAAATTCTTTTTTTTTTCTCAAATTCCTTTTTATAGAAATGATTTTCTTTTGAAAATTATATACCAATTCCTTAGTTTGAGTTCAGACACACCCGAGAGTGTGCCCAAATCCCTCAAACCAAGGCTTTGATACCAACTTGTAACAACCCAAAAATACGGCCCAAAAATTTCATTTTAAAATCAGTAGGAAAGACCATAATTCATCAAACATCACATTAAATATCATAAGTTATGTATCTCAAATCATCATAATAAAATATTGTATCAAAATCATGTCCCAAAATAGAAATCATCCCAGGCTAAAAGATGGATGCGTGTACTGAAGTCCTCCCGACCTCTTTCCCTTACTACTGGAAGTACCTTAAACCAAAACTGAAAACTATAAGCACGAAGCTTAGTGAGTCTCCCCAAGCTACCACATACCATACACATAATCACATAACCACATACATTGGGCCTATCTCGCTACATCATGCCCCGCCCAACATCAGACGAATCCGACATCGTGCCCTGCCTAGCATCGAGCCCCGCTCGGTATACACATACAAACTGTAACATATAATCATGCTAGTACATAACAGAAGAACACTACGCTATAACTGCTAGTCTCATGGCCCCGCCTGTCTTGGGCCCCACCTCCACTCTGCTAATATTGAGATATGGAACGCCATCCACACTCAGCTAGTGATAAGATACAAGCCCCACCCACACTCACCTCCCTACCAGGCACATAAAAGTATCACAAAGATAACAAGTATAAATAAACATGCATTCCTTCCTTGGGTATCACTCGACATCGAACCTAGTTCAAAAACATACATATAAACCTTCCTAGGGCCTCGCAAGACATCAGACCGTATTCCGGAAACATATAAACTACATCGGGCTAACCCCGACATCAGATCTAAATCTGGTACTCACTAACATACTTAAATAGGCCGGCATTGGAGCCTTCGACCCGTTCCTACTGGAGAAAACTTACCTCACAAGCTGATCACAGAATCCTGCCAATAAATCTCTCACTGCTAGCTGGAAGATCCCCAAACTTCTGATCTCTCGACTTCCCGAGCTATCATTACCAACATAATACTTAGTCAAGAACTGCTAATCCCTCTGAGGGTAAAATGACCATTTTAATCTTGGTAAAAGTCAAAGTCAACTCTTGGTCAAAGTCAAAGTCAACACCTTGAGTTGACATTTATAAGAACTCAGTCTTTGTTTTGTGTTGTACTTTGTGTATAAAAGAAAGATATAGCCTCCCAATTACAACGTTGTACTTTTAGAGTACCACGTTATTAATATTTAAACTATTTTAAGTTGTTCTGTGTGGCACACGGATTATAATCTAGTATATGTTGTACTTTTAGCGGATGAACATCCTTATGTTGAGGACTGCTAAGAGAAACCTTAAAGACAAATTCGTTGCACAAAATCCTACTCCTACTGCTGCCCCAGTCTTGGCTATTGGGTAGGGGAAGGGTAAGAAGAAGAAGGCTCCTTCAAAGAGCCACCATAAGGGAAAGTCCCATGATAGCACCTCTTCTAGTGGAACCAAGGTTGGTCCCACTGTACCCACCTCCAACCCAAAGGATGCAGAGTGCTATCACTGCCATGACAAAGGGCATTGGAAACGAAGCTGCCCGAAGTATCTCCAAGATATCAAGGATGGAAAGATCAAGCCATCCTTCGCAGGTATTTACAAGGTATGGTTTTCACATTTGTTCTGATTTGCAGGGCCTATGAAGAAATAGGGATGTGGAGCATGGGAAGATAAACTTGATCATGGGGAACAGAAGAGCGTCGCATGTCACCAAGATTGGAGTTTACTCTTTAGTGCTTAGTAATGGATTGAGACTAGATTTGAATAAATGTTACTATTCGCCAGAAATGTCAAGAAACATCATTTCTTTTCACGGTTTGTATACACAAGGATTTAGATATTCATTTGATAACAA